GTACAGTGCGAGAGAGATCGGCAGAAGCGAAGAGCGAAGAACCGGCGTGGTGATTGAGAGTAGCGAGGCGAGATCCGAATGGGACGCCGGAAAGATCGTACTGAACGAGCCGGTAAACGTCGACGACTGTGATGGCATCGCACAGGTCGACGCACGCGACGAGGACTAATACCAATGCGACTACTGGATAGTAGACGGGATCCAATACGGCCGCCAGCCTTCTCTGAGAATTCGCCATTGAAGAATGGCTGCAGAACTCTCTCTCTGTGTGTGTGTGTGTGATAGGGTTTTGATGGATTGATCTGAAAATATATTAAAGAAGTGCGTAGTGTAATAGACTGTTTGTCTGGACACTAGGAAGGGTGAAGTTGATGAAGATAATAATAAAAGCAAACAAATAAATAATGAATGTCTGTAATAAAAATGAAACTATTGGTGGGTGAAGATAATGATTCGAACCTTTTTAACTTTGAGTTTCAAATTAATAATTTATTCAACCGGACGGGTTTCCACTTCCTGTGCTCACAATTATACATGAATTTGATCATGACAAAACATATAAATTTTATCACTTCGGGAGGTTATAATTTCTTACAAACTCTATTCAAGTTATAAACAAAATTTATTGTCTTTACTTATATTTAAAATCAAATTATAGAATTTCAAGAATTTAAAAGAGAAAAATAGGTAAAATACTTAACTTCAATTCATAATTTATTCATGAGTGAAGTTCATGGAACAATTGACAATCATTATGTTCAATATTATGTATAAGTTGAGCACCATGCACGTATCCCAGATAACGTGTTATAAAATAATAAGAGAAGAAGAAGATGGAAAAGTAGAGAGAGAATTCTTATTGATTTCTGGGTGTTATAAAATAATAAGAGAAAAGAAAGAGTATTGCATGGAAAAGTTGAGAGAAAATTCTTATTGATTTCGGGATGATCTACAATAGAATAGAATCTCTCTATTTATAAGGGAAAAGTGACTTAGTCACCAAGTAACAAACCCTAAAATCTTTCTAAAATATAGACATTCACCTTAAATACAATTCTATTTATAACACCTTCCCCTTCAATATCTATTCAACACATAATGTACCTCGTTAAAACTTTAACTAAAATAAAACCCAGTGGAAAAAAAATTCTAGTGAAGGAAAAAAAATACACATATCTAATAATACGCCTTTTGGTTGCCTTGTTAAAAAACTCGCAAGGAAAACCCAGTGGCACAAAAACTTATAAGAGAAAAAAGAGTACAACGCGTATTAACTCCCCCTGATGAGAACATCAATTCACATATTTGAGCATTCGCATTCCAATCATGTGCACCATCTTCAAAATATCATTGGGGAATATTTGATAAACAACTCATCCATATTGACATAAATAAATATGTTGCACCTTGAAATCATCATTCTTGATAGATATGTAATGTCTTCGTATAATATCGTGGAATGGCCTTTTCAATATCTCCATAGAGGTAAAAATTCTCACTATCATATTATCATGCTTGTAGTTATAGCAAAATACATATGTGCACAAATTGCACTTAGGATATAGTAATTCAGGACCAAGAAATTCTCCAAGAATTGTATATGCTATCAGCATTTTAAATCGTTCATGGATTGTCATATAAGTATAGTCAAATAATCCATATAAATGGACTTTAGATTTACATCAAGTTTTCATGACATGCTAGACATATAAGATAGCTAAAAGTGATTGAATGCTCCGTTGACTTTATACTTTCAAGTATTTGAACTGCAGGTCTAAAACTACATGTATTTCATATTAAACTAATTCTAATCGAATTTTGTCTCTTCCATTTGGCCAATATTTTTATGTCTGTATTCGACAGGCTTAAGATCATCTATACTTAGCGCTATCATAGATGTCAATATTTTATATCGATTACAATATTTTCTCATAAAGACATAATATAAAGATCTCTTCATTCATTTCAGGTGCCTGAACCTCTCGTGAGGTTTTATGAAATGTTATGTCATGTACTCTTCTAGAGTACTAGTCTCTTTACTATAATTGTTTTGATCATTTGCTCTTCTTCTTCATCGAGAATTTTACTTGGTACCGATTTGTCTATCTGCTTCAGGCACACCATAGACTTTATCCTTCTAGGACTTATTCTAAAAGGAGTGTTTGCAATGAGAATATAGTTAATTTCTTTGGGTCAGCAAATGCGTCTGGCATGCTTTGCAATATATTGTAGATGAATTATCTTTTTATGAACTTCATGTTCATATTACCTTATTTGATAGTCTAGATGTAAAAATAATAATTCATTCCACGTAATTTTTTCTCAACTGTTTATCGTGTCTCCCCTTCATGTTAGAAAACCCAACTTGCTTCCTCAACTTTGGAAACCCACCTTTTTGTGTTATGGTGTTAACTAAAATATACATCTCACATTAATAATAATAAGATGAAATTATTTGATTCCTTACCCCGAATCACTTGTGAGGGGAGAATGTAATATACTTTCGTATATAAGGTATATCAAACTAATATCGATAACTTTGTTCTCATAAACAATAGTTTAGCTATTAAGTGGAGGCACTCAACAAATCATTTTGCCAAATCAATGGTGATGTAAAATAACTTATCAAGATGAACTATCTTGAATAAAAAATTATGGAATATGCTCTAAATTAAATTATTGAGCAAGTTATCTGGCAAACACCATGTTGCGGGTTAATAATAATCGCACATGTAACCATCTCGTAGATGCATCTTATGTCGTATACATGTCAGGTGAATGAGCTCATATTCACCTTTGATATTTCCGGCATTCATGGGATTCAATCCCAATTTTAGTTGGTCTATTAATTAATAAGAACAAATAACATAAGAGAATTTGTAAAGAACTTTCTATTTCTTTAATATTTACCTATGTGAATTCTCTTTTATTTTTGCACATCATACTTAAATTAATATGGCTAAACTAGTTATGCCAACTAGATAAATTATCAATATTGGTGAACTTCATGTTTACATCATGACATGTGCAATTATAAATTAACTCCAAGTTTATTTTGATATGAATTTTTATATAAATAAACTTCTACTTCACTGTGACATTCTTTTATNTATATATATTACCATGATACAAGTCGTAGTAATAGAAGATATTAAATCTTTTCTTTATTTATAGTCTCAATATAACCAACAGCTTTCGCGAATACGTTAGAAACTCAATAAGTTTCTTTGAAACTTACTACAATACAATACCTTATGATAATCAATTTTATTTATCCAAAATAGTATAATTTGCTCTTCCAGAGCTCTCAATTAATTTTGTACTATCGCATATTCATCAACATCCATATGATGAATATCTCTTTCAAGGAGAAAGTTATACCATTATGGTCATGTTCAAATCATTATAGGCAAGATATGATGCTTCTATTACTTTTACCCTGTGATAATCTCATTGCCTTAATATTTTGGCATAATCACAATGGGTACCTGATCAATGACCATTCATTCAATAATAATAAAATTATTTTCTTATTTCATCTCAAACCATATTCCAGAGATGAGTGTAGTATATTCACTGCCACTAGCACGTTCATATTCTTCCAAGAATGAATATGTATTCATAAATCAAATGTTGTCACATTCACATCATGAATGGACCATAATAATCTATATTTGCTTTACAAAATCTCATGTCAAATTGATGACAAACATTACTTTCACAAAGTGAAAGGGTATTTTGAGAATCCTTATTGTTCTCATTACTATAATAATGACGATTATAATTTCGTGTATTGCCACGTCCACATCCATTGATATCTTCACGGTAATAATTTTATCTTCTTTCAGACTTATCATTTACTGCTACCACATTCTCTTAAGAGAATGAGAATGAAGCAAATTCAACCGGATGGGTTTCCACTTCTTGTGCCCACAATCATACATGAATTTGATCATGGCAAAACATAAAAATTTTGTTACTTCGGGAGGTTATAATTTCTTACAAACTCTATTCGAGTTATAAGTAAAATTTATTGTCTTTGCTTGTATTTAAAATTAAATTATAGAATTTCAAGAATTTAAAAGAGAAAAATAAGGTAAAATACTTAACTTGAATCCAGAATTTATTCATGAGGGAAGTTTATGGAACAATTGACAATCATTATGCTCAATATTATGTATAAGTTGAGCACCATGCACGTATTCCAAAGCCTCTACTCAATTGGTTGAAGTCTCTTGCTGATAACGTGTTATAAAATAATAAGAGAAGAAGAGTATTGCAGAGAAAAGTAGAGAGAGAATTCTTATTGATTTTGGGATGATCTACAATGGAATAGAACCCTCCATTTACAGGGAAAAATGACCTAGCCACTAAGTAACAAACCCTAAAATCTCTCTAAAATATAGACATTCATCTTAAATACAATTCTATTTATAATACCACGCATGTAAATGAAGCGGTAAACAATGCGTTATTGGATGAATAAAAGAGAGTTTAAGAGAGTGAATTCAGGTAGTTAATTTGGTTAAGGCAAAAACTTCAAGTTTCAACAGAAACTTTTTATTGCTCCCACAACTGCACCTATTAAAGCAACTAAAAGAATACGGAGTATTAATTAGGCTATTTATTTATTCTCAATAAAATTTTTGCCTAATTCTTATCTAGATTTACGACCAAAATTCTAATAGCGTGATGATATAAAACAAATATGTGAAGTTTGCAACGCTTTAGTTCAAAATAATTATCACTTTAAGATAGTTCTGTTTAATATTGCTCAATTCTTAAAAATTATTGAATAGGTGTAACTTAGTAAACTATACCTTATATTTATTATTTTCTTAATGGACGTGAAAAGAGCTAAAACCACAATTAAAATGAGACGGAAGGAGTAAAAGAAAGATAATAGAATTACATAATTTGAAGATGTGAAAGGAAAGTAAGATTTTGAAAAGTTCCACAATTCTTCTAGGCATGTACCAAACCACGCCGCAAAAGAGCAATTGACTTAACTACTACATCTCATTCCCAAACAAGTCGAGTCAGATATATATCTGACTCCAATAATTCCCTAGATGGTGAAAAACACACAATAATTCCCTACCATAACATTGTGACTCCAAATAAAAAGGGGAAACCAAGAATATATCAACATTTTGCAAGAGTCACATGAAGTAGGTCAAAACAGTACTTTGTATTTCTATACATCACTCTACTAGAGTTGTCTCTACAAAAGGCTCCGGCGGATGCCCATGATAACCCTTTCAAATGAACTATTTACTCTCGAAGTGCAGCAGCGAAATATTCATCCCTTAAAACCTATATTCTTAAGGGCAGGAAATTCTAAAGCTTGTCCATGTTCTGCAAAATTCAGTGTGCTGTTCGTTGGTTATTCTTCGTTAGGCTGCAGAAGAAATGGTGCTGCTTAGAGAACAAAAGAAAGGACATTAACCCAAATATATACAGATTATAGACAACAACAATCATTAACAGCAAGATCAAAATAAAATGTATCCAAACCTCAAAACTTTAAAGTAGAGATGTGATACATGATCCTACAAGTGATTTCGAATTTAGGTAAGGATGCTACGGAACACCTGTCATGCTAACATTTATCTACATTTCGAATTTAGGTAAGGATACATAACGTTCATGTTGGGTTAAACAGATAATATGGTTCCTTTGATGGGCTTCTGCTTACCTTGGTACTGAGGATAACAACAGCTCTCCCCCCCCCCCCCCCCCC